TTTTGAAGATTGCTAAAAGTTATTCATTAAATTATGTATGGAACGTCAACGTCACATAACAAACCATCAATTATTAACATAATTCATTGACATTGAGTGTAGTTTTTTGGAAGGATTTTAGAGTATTATATAATTGTTATATTAAAAAAGTATTTTAGAAACATTATTTAGTACATAAAAGTTCATTTTTATTATTTGAAACGTCAACGTCACATAAAAATAATAAATTGACACGATGTTTCGTGTAGTTTGTGAAGAGATTTTAGAGAATTACAAACTGTTATATAAGAAAAAATAAGAAAATTAATTAGGGTATAAAGTTCAATTTATATTATGTAGAACGTCACGGACTTGAATGAATATTATAGATTGACGTGATGTTCCTTATAATTTGTGAAGGGAGATGAAAGAATTATAAAATTGTTATAGTTAAAACATTATTAATTAAATAATAATACTTTGCTTTGCCTTAAACTTAATGGATTTGTTTGGTAATGAAGTTTAATTTTTATTATTTGGAACGTCAACGTCACGGAACGACAATGAAAATCATATTTGATGTTCTATGTATTTTTTCAATTGTTTAATTATTTAATTAATTTATACTAATTAATACTAATTGTTTATTAAGAAATAATCTAATTCAAGTAATAAATATGTGTACTAATTGAAAAATCTTAAAAGAAAATCCAAAAAAAGGACAAGTTAAATCAATTAGTTACTAATATTTTATTGTTTACAACGATTAAACATGTTTTTAAAGTCATCAACTTTGCAACTTTGTATTTTTAGTACTCAATATTTTGGTATTATGCACAGCTGCAGAAGATTTTGTGTACATTTCGTACACGTAGAGGAATTTAAACTTGGGTCTCAAATGCTTCTCAGCCTGTAAAAAAAAAATCCAAATATTTTACCAATCTATAATTCTGTCTCGGTACAATTAAATGTTAAATTAGTAAACAACGGTAATTCAATTACAATATGTACATATATATATATTTATATATATATGTTATTGTATACAGCAATACCTCGCATAGTGCGGATTCGTTCAGTCTGGACTCACTATAGTCCAGTTTCTTAAACAATTGTACAATAATACACAATTTTATACACACATTATCATTTTTTCAGTTACGCTTTTAATTGTGCATTTTTTTTTAATAAAACAACAAAATACAAGCATAAATTAGAATATCGGTATATATTATATATTTTTTATACGGTTTTAAAGTCCACGATTAGTCCGGTTTCAAACAAGCAAAACCGATTAACCGCACTATTCGAGGTATTGCTGCATTATGCATACATAATCGGTATTCATTTCAGTCACTTATGTCTCAAATCACGCTACAGGTAGATGTGGATGAAGTTTTCATTTATATTCAAACTACTTCATACATTACTTGTATATTCAAACTAATATTATGGACCTTATTTTCATATGCATTTATAAATTTTAGCAAAACCGTTCCTTTTAATTTTAGTTAAAATAATATATTATTTAACTAATGTATACTAATTATTACTAATTTTTTATTAAAAATTAATCTAATTCAAGTAATAAATATGTGTACTACGTGAAAAATCGTGAAAAAAAAAATACTAAAAAAGGACAAATAGTTACTAATATTGTATTGTTTACAACGATTAAACATGTTTTTAAAGTCATCAACTTTGCAACTTTGTATTTTTAGTACTCAATATTTTGGTGTTATGCACAGCTGCAGAAGATTTTGTGTACATTTCGTACACATCGAGGAATTTAAACTTGGGTCTCAAATGCTTCTTAGCCTGTAAAAAAAATATTGAAAATATTTTACCAATTTATAATTCTGTCCCGGTACAATTTGAGACAATTATCTTACTTTGGTATAAAACTTGTAATTTAGATGTTAAATTAGTAAAACACGGTAATTCAATTACAATATGTACATATATATCTTATTGTATACAGCAATACCTCGTGTAGTGTGGTTGGACTTACTATAGTCCGGTTTCTTAAATAATTGTACAATAATACACAATTTTATACACACATTATCATTTTTTCAGTTAAGCTTCTTTTTGTGTATTTTTTTAATAAAACAACAAAATACTAGCATAAATTAGCATATATGTGTATATTATATATTTGTATGTCGTTTATTTTTATACGGTTTTAAAGTTCACGATTAGTCCGGTTTCAAACAAGCGAAACCGATTACCCGCACTGTTCGAGGTATTGCTGCATTATGCATACATAATCGATACTCATTTCAGTCACTTATGTCTCAAATCACGCTACACGTGAATGTGGATGAAGTTTTACATTTATATTCAAACTTTACTTGTATATTCAAACTAATATTATGGATCTTTTTTTCATATGCATTTATAAATTTTAGCAAAACCGTTGCGAACATCTGCATGACTAACGTGGATTATACATGTATTCATGAACCCCATACTAAATAACCCCTTATAAAATAAATGTCACCCTGTTACATAATAGCCTGCATCTACAATTTTCCCTACGCAATTTATTATCTGCGAACATCCAAATTCAATAATCTTTACTCATACAAAATATAAAAAAAAAACATTACGTAATCAAATTTAAAACATTGAAATGTTTCATTCAGTTTATTTTTTTTAATTTGATATAATTAATTATTTTTCATTAGAAATATTTAATTTGTGATCGATATAAATGCAAATTTAAATCAGTAAAGTTGTTTTGATTGGAGATTGATGTAGGAGGTGCTAATCACGATCGTTGCGGTTTTGTTCTAAGGATAATGAAGCAATAATAGCGACAGAGACAATTGACAAAGTCTAATTTTTATCCTTAGTGTTAGGGTTGGGTTTTTCGGTGTGTTTGTACGTGTGGAAAGTCGTAATAGTACATAAATTATGTTCCGTTATCGAGGAACTCGTTTGTGGAAATTATGGGCTGAATAAAATTATAATACGTAATAAATTGTTGTTGGCGGTGGATTTAAGGAGGGAAGGAAATATATTTATTTAAAAAAAAGAGGAGCAAAAGGAATAAATGATTGGTTGTGGACAATGGAGATGAGGTGAAGGAGTAAAGCGAGAGTAAGTTGAAGATGTTGGATGAATTTGAAATGAGAACAGAGACAATGGCCGCCTTTAATTATATTAATAACGATGATGGTAATAATAATAAACGATAATGGAAGGACGAGAGCTGCCGTCAAAAGGTTTTCACAATTTTTCATTCTCGTGAAATCCTCCCGAAGGTACGGTGTCTAATGTCCTGTCGAAAATGGGTTATATTCTTGAAGCCAGTTTATAAAATAACATAATTAATAACTCCTGACGGATTCATCTATCACTCAGGCCCGTAGCCGCGGGGCGAATCAGCAATCTCAACAAATTATAGTAGTTCCAATTCGACATGGCCTTCCAAATTACTCGACCACCCTTGCAAACGCGATTAAATTATCATTAGCAGCCTCACACTCTCTTCTTCTCGCTCGACTTTTCCTTGCACCTCTCTTCAGCTACTGTCTTTTAATTGACGAAACCCACCTCCTCTACACCTCTACTCTACTCTTCTCTTCTCTTTCGGCTCTTCAAACCTCTTCCGTCCCTTCAGTTATTTATTACACAATGCATAATTTACTTTTCGATTATATGATTTATTACATGCATCAAAATTCATTTCATCATTGTAATTATTGATTGATAAACACAATCGATTTTCAACCACCCATCAACTTCATTACATAATACATTCAAAAAACATTGATTAAGACAAGCTAAAAGTTTAGTAATTAAAAATTTAATCCTTATATAAAGAGAGTATAATAGCTTTAATTACATAACTTTTATATATACAATTGTTTACTTCATTGATTGTAATGAAATGCATCTAATTTTAATTACTAAGGAAATAAATGAAACATATGGGTCAAAATGACCCAATTATTAACAAATGTAGCTCTACTTCTGACACCAATGATATTGAATATACAATGAAATAAAGCATACTGAATATCAGAATTACTAATCTTTCCCGTCTTGGTACATAGCAAACCCAAGTTATTCCACTTTTGATATCCAAATATTAATGATATTTCAAGAATGTATTAGCTATAGACGGGTCACTTTGAGCCGAAATACACTTTACAAGAAAATAAGTACCTTTAGCTACGACTGCTTTTCTCCTACTGAAAATGCACTAGATAATAGCTAGCAAATCAACTCCTACAATTAAATTACAATAGGATGCGAATGTCATAAACTTAATTTGATGTTATTTTCTATGATTATTATTTAATTTGTATTTTTTACCAGTATTGTAAAAAAATGTGCAATATCTGTATAAAGAAAAGTCTCTAGTCAAGAGATCTGTAAAAAAAAGTAGTTAGATAGTGATCATTTTACTTAGAACTTGATGACTTAATGATAGAAAATTGCAGAAATTTAAAAGGCAATTTCGATTTGTTCCTCGCTTATTCTCAGAAATTATCTCAACTGCAGATTATTTTTGCGTTCAAAGGCTTTGAATTCATTTGCAAATGATAATTGCTTTATAATAATAACTCAATGTTAAAGGAATGATAGTTTGCCATGTGATGTATATTACTATTTGAGAAATAAAGTGTGTAGTACCTCGAATAGTCTGGATAATTGACTAATCGAGACTTTTAAAACCGTAATTTATTGTTCTGAAATTTTCAATTCTAACTAGTGAAATCGGACTAATTGAAACATCAATCAAATACTTGATAAGAATCATGCAATCTGTATAATATATTATTAGGTAATAATAATTTTCCTTCAAAGTTGATCACTTAAAGACAGAAAATTGAGGAATTTTAAAAGAGTTGGGTAGAAAGACTTTGGGATAGCCAATACAATTTGTTAATTTTGATTTATTTCATGTATATCATCAGAATACGAATTTCCCCTTTGTTCTCATTTCAATTGCATTTGCAAGTATCAAGTAGTGGTAAATTATAAAAATTATGTTGTTTGTATTGCAGGCCAGGGTCGGGTGAATCAGTTAGGAGGCGTCTTCATTAACGGCCGTCCTCTTCCTAACCATATCCGACTGAAGATTGTTGAGATGGCCGCTGCAGGAATACGACCTTGCGTGATCTCGCGACAACTGAGGGTGTCCCATGGGTGCGTCTCGAAGATCTTGAACAGGTATCAGGAGACGGGGAACATCCGACCAGGTGTAATAGGAGGTTCAAAGCCTCGAGTCGCAACAGCTGAAGTGGAGAAGAGGATAGAGCAACTGAAGCTCCAGAATCCCGGGATCTTCGGATGGGAGATCAGGGAGAAACTGATCAAGGTGAGTTCGAAGCGAGAGCGCGCGCGATTTGGAGTAGTAGTTGTTGGCGGGACGAGATCAAAAGAGTCGGCCGTCGCTTGAGGACAACTGGAAATGATAATGGTTCGGTGATGGAACGTGCCTCACCGCCTTCAAATTACCGTCGGGACAACTGTCGATGGCATCGCGCTTCAATCTAACACTGGCTTGCGGCCGATAAACGAACCGGCTACGCCTCTATCTTTCTTCAGCTCCTCGCCAGACGAACACATCCAGAGGCGGCACATACTACAACTAAAAATTCTAATTTACTTCAATAACTTCCTTACTTCTTCTTATTCTTCTTCTTCTCCTCCTGCTTCTTGTTCCTCTCATCTACCACCCTACCCACTTCTTCATCATCCTCTACATACCAGAACTTATACCATACTTTAACACCGGGCGACTTATCATTCCCACAATTCCTCATACAGTTATAATCGTGATACAAATCATTAAACTATTTTTAATTAGAAAATCATAAATTTTTATTAATTGAGCTCATCCCAAAAAATTATTTATATGGTAATTTTTTGTAAAGGTCACACTTATTGCGTATTAAACAACAAAGCTGTTATTGAGACAAATCCAACTACAATAATTTATAGACATCGAAACTATTTAAAAACATGATATAATTTGAAATAATTCCATTCTTCAACTTTTATAATTTACATATTTTTGAATTATAGACTGAAACTTATTATTTAGAAACCCAAATATTTTTAATATATAAGGAAAAGAAATTGATTTACAACGTCATATTATGATATGTTATATAATTTAAAGCTTGAATTCAGTTCAGAATAGTCAATATATTTCAGTATTTGAGATTATACTAAAATTTGATTGATGTCAGCTTATGAGAGTAATAAAAAGCTGGTCTTAAGTATTTTAATAAAGTTAGATCATTGATACTTTATAAAAGTTAAGCAAGGATTGTACTAGAATAAATACTCTTTTTCATTATTTTATAGTCGAAACAAAAAAGTATACATAAAATATATATTTGAAATGGATTCTAATCATGAAAATAGTTTTAGTCTAATATGAATTTAATTGTATTTCATCTGAATTAGTTTTGAGTTAAATTAATTGTTTTAATAACATAAAGGTCTAATAACCAAACTTTAATGAAATATATTTCAATAACTCTTGTTTCACAAACATATATATGTTTGAAATTGGAATCAATTCTCGTTACTAGGCTGTTGCTAGCGATGTTTCGAAAGCATTTAAACACATTTGAATCAATAAATCCGGGGACCTCCGGCCGATCAAAATAAAATAAAACGAAAGCTTTTAAATAAATCTCTATAAATATAAATTGCATGCATTACAATTCAATTTAATTGGATTAAACTTTAAAAAATGTTTTTTTTAAATGTAAATAAATTCTATTGAATGTTAAATCATCTTTTATGTATTCACTACTATTTTACATAAATTTTATTATTAGCCATTTTTTCTTATATTTTCATCAATTGTAAAACCTAGATTCTGTTCTAAATAGCTGATACAAACTCAAGAACAGCGTTTCTCAACCTATATGCAGTAACCCAAAATAGAGTTAAATGTCACGAAATGACAGCTGTAACTTGTTAATAACAAATTGCTGAAATTGATCCGTTTTTGTAATCGAAATCACATTAATTTAATTTTTTTCAATGAAAATATTGCTAAAAATGTGTTTTCAATGAAATCCTAAGAAAAATATTATTTTTTTAATTTTAACTATGTTCAGGTAACAAGAATATTAGTATTTGTAGTGCTTTATTTAACTTTTGTACTTTTTAGTACATATAGTTCTTTACTATGATCATGTATCAAACATTTCATATTTTAATGTGTATTTATGTACCAAAATTATTAATTGAAAAAAATAATAACTCAGAAACAATATATCTATGATTATTGACATCAAGTGTTGTGTTACATAATTTTCGGTAGGATGAGTAACGATCATGAGACTGTGTAATAAATTTGTCGAATGGAGTATTACAGACAATATTTAGGCCTCTGGCGACGAAGTTACAAAAGGTGCATTGCAGGACCTGATGAATATTCAAGATATGTAAATGCGATGTGACTTTTCGGTCGTAACGCCACTGGAAAGTGTTGCGAGATATCCTGCATCTGACTTCTTCGTCCGTTTATGGGGGCGTCAAAAATCACGACCGAAAATCTGGTCTCTCTACCATACACAAAATAATTTCACTGTCTTTCTCTCTCTCTGTCCCACCTACAATTCCACTAATGTATATACTTAGGGCATCTCCATCCATCCCGTGCCGTTATTATTGTTGCTGTTGTTGTTGTTATTGATATGGGCATTTACGGGGCTGCTTTCAATTGATTTAAAACATCAATTTGAGAAATTGATTTACACCGAAACAGAATGGACTACTATTTCCTTTATTATATTATATGCATATGCCTTTTCGTGAGAGATACCATCGAAGTGTATACAAAAGAGAACCATTTAATATCTGATCTTCCTTTATATATCATATAGTTGGAATATACTTATTTTTGAAAGTGATATTGTATTGTGTTCGAACATCAATTTATTTAACATTTAAATTATTCACATTTTGTATTTATTTTAATAATAATAATAATAACTTTTATTGCAACAGTCACAATAAGTAAACAAAAATAATTACGTAATTATAATTCAAATCATAACTTTTCCCGAGATTTCCCGGGAGCGAAATATATAAGTACGATGCGTACTTACAAATGTATATATACATTCTTATTGACTATAAACCAGATATTATTAAATTGATTACTAATGTAATAACTTTTATTGACACAAAAAGAATTACGTATTTGTAATTCAAATCATAAGAAAAAAAATGGGTCTTTCTAGGGATAACCCGAAATCTATAGAAAAATCAAGAAACGAGAACACACAACGAATATACAAATTGTTATTGATTAAAAATTTCCCGAGAAATCCCGGGATTTTTCGAACTTTCGATCTTGATTACCGAGATTGAAAATCTTTGGCAACAGCATCCACTATTATTGACCCTATTGTCCATTTTTTGTTATTGCTTCAATTTAATACATGTCGATATATACTTTACAACTTAGTTTTTACATTATCCAATAATTAAAGTTAATATTTCTAATTATTAATAATTATTAATTTTCTTAAATAACTTAACAGATTTTGGTACATTTTACAAATTTGTTCATCATTATAATCGATGAATTACATTTTACAAAACCCTAAGATTCTTCATTATATTGTGTCATATTGTTCATTTTAAGAAGTTTTGTTATATATATTAATTATTTTAATAATAATAACTTTTATTGCAGCAATCACAAAAAGTAAACAAAAATAATTACGTAATTAAAAAAATCCTATTGACTAGAGAGCTTTTCCCGAGATTTCCCGGGAGCAAAATCTATAAGCAAGATACGTACTCTCAAATGTATATACAAAATCTTATTGGCTATAAACCAGATATCATTAAATTGATTGGTAATGTAATAACTAACTAAACTAACTAAATCATAAGAAAAAAAATGGTCTTTCCCGGGATAATCCGAAATCTATAGAAAAATCAAGAAACGAAAATACATAACGTATATACAAATTGTTATTGACTAAAAATTTTCCGAGAAATCCCGGGATTTTACAAACTTTTGATATTGATTACAGTGATTGAAAATCTTTGGGAACAGCATCCACTACTATTGACCCTAGGTCTTGTCGTCCATTTTTTTTTAATATTGCTTCAATTTAATACTTTACAACTTAGTTTTTACATTATCCAATAATTAAAGTTAATATTTCTAATTATTAAATAATTATTAATTTTCTTAAAAAACTTTACAGATTTTGGTACATTTTACAAATCGATTATAATTTACATTTTACGAAACCTTAAGATTCTTCATTATATTGTTTGCTATTGTTCATTTTGTGAAGTACTGGTATACATTATATTATATATAGATTCATCCATGAGAAAAAACTGTATAAAGAGGAAATTAATAGTTTATAAGTCATGGAAATACAATCATATAGTTAGATATGTATAATGTAGTCAATTTGTATCGATTATTGATCTGAATTCTTGCGGATGATAACTTAAGAAGTGACTTTTGTACATCAGAATAAGCAAAACAAAACAAAACAAAAATGCACAAGCAACAACAAAAATGAGTGCGCAAATGTTAATGAAGTGGAACCGGTAATACTGGGTCTCCCTAAGATAAGAATCGCAATCTCGATAAGGGAGTAGAGAGAGAGTTTACTGGCACATTTCCATACGACCATTATAATTACGGCAGCGCATTGCAAGTAATGCCCCCATGTACATGCAAATTTCAACTGTGCCCATGTTTTTCTCGTTTTTCGATGAAAATTTGCAATTCATTAAATATTCACGAAAATAACACCCAGCTACGCCCGGTGGAAGCGGAATGCACCAGAATCCGGTACCGCACGGTACTACTACTACCACGACCTCGTCTCACCACCGACAACATCAACACCGACACTAACATCGCCGGCAACCATAGCAACAACAACAACAACTGAAGCAGCAACAACAAGAACGGCGACAGCAACAACGGCACGCAGCTCAGGTGCCTCCGACGAGATGGTTACATAATAACACGGCCGGGGCCAAATTACACGCTTTAGCGTACCACGGGCGTAAAAAAGGACCGGCGAACGGAGGGCATCCATCCACCTATCCATCCATATGTACGTGTACGGGAGAGAGAGCTGTTACATTTCTTCGGCAATACCTAACTACAATCGATTGCGGTCGGTGGGCGACCGAAAATAATTCACTCGCTCATTTGCTTTAAGCTCACTAATGGCTTTTAATAAATCTCCCCCTAAAGTGATGTGAATTCAAAAGGAAAACATATCAATAATCGGCTCGCGGCATACCGTGGATACCCATAATTTGATCCGTATCGAAAATAATATAATACATTCTAATCGTCGCCGGAGTCATGGTGAAATCTACAAGAGAAAAAACATATTTTACGCTAATTTGAATATTTAAATAGCGCACACTTTGTTCTATCTATTATATAATGTATGTATTTAGATTGAGACTTTAACATCTACAAATAATATCGATATACTATAATATTGATAAAAAATCATAGATTTTCAGACAAAAAATATGTTAGCCCATTCATCCATATTAGGAACAATCAATAATAAAATAATTACAAAAACTAATTAAAACATAAATGTTTAAGTTATACCAACTACTACACTTATATTAAAACATAATAGGTGAAAGTATAATTTTATAGTGATCGTACTTCATGAAAATCAGCAATATTTGGTATTAGGGTTGCTCAATCTCAACATTTTTTTGATTCCCGGGACACAACTTTTCAAGTATTTTTCGGGAATTATTAGGACTCGGGAAATTAAACATTCAGTAAATGAAATCATGGCTGATTTTGAACAACAAGAACAAATACCCTCTATAGCTTTATAACTTTCTGGATTATATAGATGTTTCAATAAATTCGTAATTCGTTTATCCGTCCGTTTATAATTTCGACAGCTGTTAAAAAATTGCTACTTTCAAATGAGACATATTTTCCAATGTACCGGTTGATATTCCCGGGTATCGAGACTATATATTTTTTCCCGGGAAAATTGTCCCGTGAATTCATTCATATATTTTTTTAAATAATGTTTATTTCTGCGTATATTTAGTACTAAAAAATATAGTGACAGAAAGAAATATTTTTTATAATTAATAAATTAAATAAAGTAAATTACAGTTTATTTTTTTCTTTTTTTTTTATAATTGCTTACATAAATCGTTGATATGAAAATATTACATTCATATAAAATTATTTCACTGCGTTCTAAAAAAAATTGAAACATAAAATTGCTTTCTACGAATTATTTATGTAATAACTTCTTTGTTAAATAGCAAACATACAATTTGTAATTTTGCAAATATCAATCCATCAAAATTATAAATGCAATGATCAAGATTAATGACAATCGATCAGAATTTTTTTCTTCTTCGCAGAATCGAACAATAAAAAAAAAATCTTAAAATTGAATCAATGTATTAACCTTTATTCATATTGGATCGTTGCATAATCATGCTGTACATGCATGTATACTTTATAAATATTATAGCATTAAATCGTAGTTGATTTGTTATTAAATGATAATGCGTTTCCAATATAAGACAATAACTAATTTACATTTATTTATACTTTCACAATAATCAAACTTCTATTCCATGTGATTTCATTATTTAGTAGAAACGTAAAAGTTTCATAAATCAATACCTGCCTTTCTATTTACAAATAGCACAAAAAATATGAGCAACATCTGCAAAATATAATTGTGCAGCTTTTATATTTAGTTGAACAAATTAATAAATTAATATTTCTTTTCGATTAGAGAAAATAAATAATTTTGTGTATTATGTTTTTAGTATTAAATTTGCTCAATTAACATTTAGTTTGTTTTGAAATTTTCAATCCGAACTATAGTGAATCCGGACTGATCGAGCCACATTAGTATATTAATATTTGTATTAAGTTTTATAATGCTATTGAATATCTATTTAGAAATCGCTTTTGGATTCCTTTATTTCGGAGGATGTGAATAGAAATAACAATATATGTTTGGTAATAGATTTGTATGTGTTTGTTGAAGGAGGGCATTCAGGATCCGCCGAGCGTGTCTTCAATAAGCAGATTGCTTCGCGGAGGTAGAAGAGATGATCTGGACGGCAAAAAGGATTACACCATCGACGGGATATTGGGAGGTAATTGATATTTCTTTGGCTTTAGTATATCCTTTGACCAAATGTCCCACATCATACATTTTAATAGTTTGGCGATGAATGCAACGCGTCCGTCCGCCTGATTTAACCTACGGCTAAAAACGGCACATCCAAAAGTCCGCACAAGAATGGGAGGACTTTAGGCATCATTCGGGGGCACCCACCCATTCCGGTCGATTTCGTTTTCGAAAAATACGTGCATTTTACGCTCAATAGAGCCATGTAGTTTTGTATAGAACTCTACCGAACACACACGACTTATTCTTTCATTCTGCCTCCTCTATTATTATTCAATTAGGATAATAATTTTCTTTTGAGCACTTTTATTCAGATTCTATTCAACAAAATGGCCTTACAAAAGTATGCATAATATATCCTAAAGTAAAATATAAAAAAAATGTATTAACAGTACTTAAAACTTAATACCATTATTCATATTTTCCAAATTATTAGTTTGAAACTTAGAAAAATATTATTATATTAGAAATATATTTACATTTATTCTGTATATGCTCACTACAACCTACAGTATTGCATTCAATTATCATCTCAATAGAGAAAAGTTGCCATTTGTACTGAAATATTTCTATATTAATCAACAATTCAGTTATAAAGCGATCCATTTAAGGCAACTTTTGTTAATCAATACTGTTTAAAAACATATAAGTATTCATTGATTTTAATATTTCATGTTGAAAGTAATGTAAGTTTTGTAATTCTATCTCCAATATGACGTAAATATCCTAATTATAAAGTGGTCCATTTGAGGCAACAAATAGTGTTTAAGAAAAGACTTATTAATTCTTATTAGAATGTCAGTAAATATGACGTAAATTAGTTGGTCCATTTAAGGCAACTTATTTTTAAAATGATTTTATAACTATGAAGTTAACTCTTTGGATACAAAGTGGTTCATTTAAGGCAACTTTTGCTAATAATTGCAGTACATTTTATTTTTATTTATTTTATGTTAGTATAAATCATTGTGGAATTTTTGAGTTGAAAGACATTTGAAATAGTAGTGTGTTAAAATGTATTAATATTTGTGTCTTTCTTTAAAACGAATAATTCGATTATAGTGAAGTGAGTGAAATGAAAAGGTTTTTAGAAGAGTTAAGTCTTAATGCGTTTTTATTGTGCGGCTGGAAAGGTGAAAGGTGTAAATCAATCGATTAGAGATGATTTATTCGACGGCGTCATATAAACAAGGGATCAATGTTGCAGCGAAGCGACAGAAAAGGATCCACCGATGTTGCATCCTTTTTATCGCCTTTCCTGCTGTTCCTGCACACATATGTATATACATATTTCGTGACCGAGTAGGCTTTTGCTATTTTAATTTATTGGCCATTCTTTGCCCACACCGGAGTCGCCGTCCAGGCCGAATGATAATAAATATTATTTCGCGTCGGACAACAAAAGTCCACAAATTGAATGCGCCCGGAATGGGATAAAGGATAAGGCTCTTAAATCCTTCAGCGCGCTGCAACATTGATAAGGACCGCTTTTCGGTCAAAACAATTATGATGCGCAACATCAAAAGGCTTGTGGTAATTGCATTTTCATGAACATAATATGAGTTGATGTTGTTACAAAGGACCATCCCGATCGTAATAGATGCGATGGATTCGATCTGATGGAATAACACAGGATTATAATTAATGAGCGTTGTTTGTCCTCCGCATCTCATTTACCATTTTTACAACAAAAAAAACTTTTTGTAAAAAAAAAAAATGGGATGTCCAATTTCAATACTTCTAAATAAAAATAAAAACATTACCTCACGGCTTCTATTAGTCCGGATTTGAATATTTCAAAACAAACTAACTTTTAATTAACAAAATAAATTCTAAAAAAATTTGTACAAAAATTATTTTTTAAACATAAATATCAGTTTTATTTACTTTATACTGTCGAATCTCCTTATGTACAGTTTATTTTTTACGGTTTTAAAGTCCCCGCTTAGTCCGGTTTCAAACAATCCGGAATATAAGTAAAGTTTCATTCTAGTATCTAAAACCATTTTTTTTTGTTTAAATAGATGAATCGGTTTTTTAATTTAACATTTTTATCAAAACAAAACCGGTTTTTTTTTTAAATAACGACATGGGCTATTAACCATGAAACGTGGACAACAATCTGGGTTTGTCGTGAAACTCGATAATGGTGTGTGGGCCTAATCCATCTAATGGGAGGGCGAGTTTAATGGCAACTCGGGTCGCCTTTCGGGGATTATCAAAACTGTATCGATTCACTTTCTGACCGAGAAAAAAGCCGACACAGGACAAACACACACACAAAAAAAAGTGAACCATCTGGTTTACAATATTTTTTCCTCCTCCTCCTCCCACTTGATGTTGGACATCCTTTCTCCGTCTTCCTCTTTTTTCTTACATTATTTTCTGCTCTGACACCCCAAAGATTACGTCAATTTGTTAAGAAATTAATTCCCGCGCGCGTTTGATGGATTCCCAGGTATAAAGGATGATGGTGCGTTGCCACGCGGTCTGGCGGAGACGGCGGATGTCTCGAATTCCTGGGTCAGCCCCGAAATGGTACTTCTTCTACACGCTTTACGACCGACCAGAAAATAACTTCATCATTGCAATTATATGATTTCTAATTGCCCATACCACCGTTTTGAGCCCTCCGGGGTCCAACCATTCCCGACCAACAATGTCAAAAACGAAAAAGCGAATCACCGAAATGGGTTCGGTCGTAAAAGCGGAGAAAAATGGTGGAAAAGCCAATCAATGAAATCAAACTGTGGCGGCTCAGGGTTCCCTCTTCAAAGGCGAGCATAATATGTTAATGAGACAGATTATTACGGAACACGTGTTATGTATATGTTGTCTCTGTCTGTGTAGATGTATGAGTGTGTGTTGGGTCTTAAAGCCTTCACGTTTCTTCTCCATTCCTTCTCCTCCTTCTTCTTCTACGCTTCCATGCGGAGAAGCCTTTTGTCCATAAGCTGGTACCTTCAAATGCTCCGATCTTCAATAAAGATAAGCGGCCAGCACACAATCCTCGCGAAATCATAAAATTCTCCAACGACTTGTTTCTACTCGTGGAACGACAAAAGTAATGGCGTACCTATATTTATTTTCTCTCTAAACCTGAAAACAAACCATTTGCGGAAATCAATTTATATTCAACAACATGTTTGTTAAAACAATTTTTAAGTTTCGTAACAAAAAAACTATATAATTTAATAATAAAATGAATAATTAATGTAATAATTAGTTAAACATTTTCATTTTTTATAAGAAAACATTATGCAAAAATATTTACAAAATTAATAAAAAAAATGTTTGAAATTTTTAGGATAAAATAATTTTTAAGCTCTAAAAGTTTAATAAATTATAAACTTTAATTATATCAAATTAATTAAGTAAAGAAAAACTTGTATTTTAATGGAAATAAATATAATAATTAAAAATAACTTTTTTGTTTGACGTATAGCAAATAAAATAATGTCATTATAAAAATTATTAATTAAAAAGTAAATTAGAAATCATCAATCTATTAAAAAAAAAATGTAAATAATAATACAAAAATTTAAATATAGCTTTATTAAATCAAAAATGGATTAAATATTTACTGTGAAAATCATATACGTTGCTTCTGTAAAATGTATTTTTTTTTTCAAAAAATAAATTACATAATCATGATTGACAAAAGCACGAATCGCGACGTTAATCTTTAAACCAGCTCCAATTTAAACTACATATGTCCGCTTTTATTAAGCTTCTTGCTAGTCCATAATATCATAAGATTATTACTAATTAACATTAAAAAATTGTTAATTCATCATTAAAGTCATTTTTTTTTTCTGTAATTTAAAGAAAAATGTTTTTTTTAATTGGTTATACTTCTACTGTATCATAATAAAACAATGCACATTCGATTATATATTACAAAAAATCCACTTTATTAACACTAACCTCAATATTGTTAAATTTCAGCAATATTTTCAATGACAAAAGTGTGTTGTACTTTTTGGTGAAATCAGGAAATTTTAAGCTTAAATCGTATAATAAGTGAATTATAGTGATTAAATTACATAAACGGATTAATAATTAATATATTTATTAAATTATAAACTTATTACATGGTAATCTGCTATACAATTTTTCTTTTTGATACAACAGAAGAAAAATAACCTATACAGAAGTGACAAGTATTACTTGAATGTAGGTTTACACTCACTTTGTATTTCCAATTGCAAAACAAATTATTTTTGTATACAATATAAAATTTACATTAAAGCACCAAAAAGTATTTAGATTAGTTTCGTATTTCCTTATAATTTAAATAGTGACATAAATGTGCTGGTACTTATAAGTACCGTGAAACGACAAAGGGTTAAATAATTACGTAATGGAAATAATCTATTTTTTGTCATTCTAGAATAATATAAATTTTATTTGTTGTAAAAAAAAGTTTAACGTTCGTAAATATTAAAAGAGAAGAAGTACATTAGGATATAAATCATTCGGTATCTGGTTGGGGGGTATTAAAGTTCTCGTTAGTGTTATTTCTCATGAGTTTTGGGTGCCGGAGGGGTGTTAAAGACCAATAACGCGGGTGCTTTTAAATATCGGACGGCGGCGCCCTTTGTGTAAAGCGATACCCCCTTTGGTATCGGTTGCCGAATGTGTGGCAAAGGGAGAAAAAGAGCTCCTCTCTCTTGCGGTTCGCATGCTTCTCAAACCACAGCAACGCGGTTTCACCAACAACTTGAACTTGTCGTGATACTACTATACGACTATTAGAAACTACTACCTACAACTGCTACTACAACTATTATACCTCAGCCACTACTTGATAGATCCACGACCAAACGGAAGCATTCAATCAATCCGATTCAATCTGAATCTAATTTATTACGACTCTCCTTCTCCTGCTCATTAAGACTACTATTCAGTGAATTAATCAACCTACCGTTTCAATTACACGTATTAATTATAATGTTATAATTC